GTCAGTCATTCGTTTCGAACGACACACTCATTCGACGGATTGTTTATCGGTTTTTAATGATTTCTTTTCTTATCGAAATTGTTTCAATATCCGAACAAATCAATTTTTCGCTCAGGAAGTGAGTGTCGTACAGTGCAAAAACTGCTTAGTTCTCCTAATGTTTTCTGATCTAATTCAGAATGGGAATTTTGAATTGTTTCTGGCTTATATTCATATGCTTCAGTGTTTTGCGGAGTTTCATGAACTGTCTTTGAGAGTCATTATTGCGCTTCAAAATTTAAGATCGAATAAAAGGCGAATCTGAGATGGGTTTGATCTCGCAGTCGGTTCGACTGTCCAGTGGTGTTGCGATGACAGATATGTTCGAAACAACCTCAGAATCAGCGTTTAGCGTTTTCCCGGATTCATACATGAAGAAACCTGTTTACAGCACAGATTCAAGATATCACTCGTTGGTTTATCTATTGCTTCATCTGTCTTGAAATTGTTGATCATTGACCCTCGTCCATATCCGTGATAATTGGTTCAAGTGGGTGATCTTCAATGATAATGTTTCCGTTTCAGATCAATATTTTGATTATTTTTGATTAAGTTAAAATTTTTCAGAGGTTCACATGCATTTGTGCCTCAAACGCAACAAACAATCGATGACTTCAAACGAATGTGTCAGAACTATTATAAAGGTAATCAATTTCGATCTCTGTAAATCCTCACTGAATCTGCGAATCAGAAATCTAAGATCATCATTTTCGGCCTGAACGCACTCCATTTAATTCACTTCGAGTGTCAGCTCATTTCAATTGCATCCCAAAAAGAATGATGAATTAACCTAACATTTGTTCCATGCAAACAATTCAGACGGGATGATGGACGGTAATATCTATCCTGAAGTTCGTCGATGCCCGGATTCACTGCATTCGATCGAAACCGATTGTGGTTCGGACGTGGTGTGCGAATTTGATTCACTGTTACTTCAAACGAGGATTCTTGGCGACAAATCGAAGGACGAATTTCAGTCATTCATCGTTCAACGTGACCTCGCCACAACACACTGTAGGTTTTCGATAAGAATATTTGAAGGCACTCGAGTAAGCGCTCTGATTTTCAGAACGAAATCGTTGAAGTTCTAATAACTGGATATCACCAGAACATGAGATATACATTGAATTGAGTACCTCTTCATTCAGATAATAGCTGTGGTGCAGTTGCATTAGAATATCCAGAATATATGATCAAAGGTCCGACCAGTGTATCAAGAGCCTACTTGGAAGGTGATATGGTATCGTTCACATGCTCACAAGACCATATAAATATGGGTGATACTGAATACCAGTGTATGTCGTTAACTTCTGCAATATTACACATTTAGAGTGTAACGAATGAAATTGTGAATAGCGCTGAGATGTGCGCAGTTTCGACCAATGACAGTAATTACTAGAACAGAAATGAACATCAGTCTTTATTTCAAAAGGAATTTGCATATCTCTGATTGTAACATTTGTACATTTTCTTCTCATATTACGATATCGAATAACATGAATTTATACATATATTTAAGGCACTAAAATGGAATACGGTCACGATGCAAATTCATTCACGATGCGTTGGAATGAAGGCATACAACCTTGGTGTAGATCTCGGTAAGAGACGCAACTGTGCAAATATCTTCACATTTGCGTTAAGCATTTGCTTTGGATGCGAGAACT